TATTTTCTGTGCAAAGACAGTGTTTTGTTCATGTCCTTGAAAATTATAATCCCACTGGATTGATATTGACCATAACTATCTCTTTGTGAGGAAGACCATAAATGTTAGAAGCTTAACAAAGCCTTGTTTGGTCAGAATGGGTGATTACCTTTGTGTGCAATGTTTGTCTTTTCTGTCTAAGGCAAATGGGCTGTTCTGCAATTTTGTAACCTGCAGATAGAAGTCAATATGAATGATTTATTAGTATTTCCTCTGGGTTCAGTTTAATGAATACTGACAAGCATGCAGAATGATTTGATGTCTGGCTGCTAACCTTCAGGGGGAAAAAAGCCGTAAATTGAACTTTAAAAAAAATAGATGCTAAAAGTTTATACAGTTATTTTAATATAGTGGAGGAGGAAGATATGCCTCATCACTCATCAGCTCCCACAGGATTATTCTAGTTTGTCCTGCTAGATAAACAAATTGCATCATGATATCAAGACACAGCGTCACGAAGAAATGGCATGGTAATGTAGTATGATGATGGCATCTCCCAAGCTTGGGGTCAGCACCCTGAGGTCTCTCCTAATTGAACAAGAGGATTCTTCCAGAGATTTTTATATCCCTTAAAAAAAAAAAAAAAAAAAAAAAAAAGGCTATAAATAACCTGTGACTGATCAGAATTATTATAGCTGTTTTACAGATAGATAAATGGAGATGCATCAAGATGAAGTGAAAGGCCCAAATTCAATTAATAATGAGCCTACTCTGGCTCTTTTTCACACTAAAGTAACTCCTGCAAAGTTATTCCTGATCTGTGTTAGCATAAGGTAACATCTGCTCTACAGGTGGAGGGTGTGCAGTGTTCCGAGTGTGAGTTTGGACATCAAACCGTTCTGCATGCTTGTGGTGTCGGTATTCCTTAAACTGAACCAAGAGGAAATGCTAATTAATCATTCTTGTTGACTTCTGCAGGTGAGATTATACAAGCAAAACTGACCTTCAGTCCCCATAAGCAAAATAAGTCAAATCATGGATGTGCCAGTGTGACAATCTAGAAGGCAGTGTGGCAGTGCTCATGGATGCAACTCTGTTGTCAAGAATTTCCTCTCTGAACCAGTTAGCCTCTAAGGGCTTTGGCACAGGTATAATGCCAGAAACCTGTGGAATGTTGTGGTGTCACAGTTTTGGTGTTTTCAGAGCAGTCACAAGTGAAGGCTTCATGTAGTTTCAGACCTGTGAGACTGACTTGCCACTAGAGGGCTGATGGGCAGAGGCTAAGGCAGGAGCCAGGACTCTTGCGCCACAGGGGTGGGGGCAGAGGGAGGTGAAGGGAGAGTTTTGCATCTGCTAAGAAAAAACATTACACGTGATTAGGGACTTACTTGTGTTTGCATGGATTTTTGCGGAAATTGCAAAATCAAGCAATCTCTGCAAAATTCGTTGGGGGCCGGGGGTGGGGGGGA